CTACTCACATACTACACAGGAGAGAACCAACAAACAACGCTACTCACATACAACACAGGAGAGAACCAACAAACAACGCTACTCACATACAACACCGAACCCGGCGAGACTCGAAATCGGGTGGCATTAATGAGAGGCTAGCGCTCAGTCTCTGCGGAATAGAGTCTTCGTACCTTTTTCGTAGACGTGTGAACAAGGTTCCTGCGCCTCATGGACGATATCAGCCAGTGCAATGCCATAAGCAGACAAGATACCAGCATATCTGATATAAACAATGAAAGTTTGTGTTATGACTTTCTGTAAACCGAGTGGGGTCTGGGTACGAGCAATCTCGTACCCAGACCCCACTCGGTTTACAGAAAATCATAACACAAAATTTCTTACTGCGCATGCTCGACGAAATGAGCAGTAAAAAATGGGTCTGGGTACGAGATTGATATAGCAATATTCAATGTTCTTAAACATTGACGTCAGGAATCTTTTCTCATACAAATTTGACAACCATTAAGGTGCTGACACACGGTGCAACATTGCACGCAACATTGCAAGCAACAAATTTGAATCCGGGTGACACACATTGCAACAAAATCACGCAACATCGCTTGTGTCAGCCTGCTATGTTAAGATATTTGGTCAGCAGTTATAAATTTGGTGTAAGCTGATTGGCTGGAAATTTCAAAATGTTGCAGGTTATGTTGCAGTCATGTTCACATGAAATTTGTTGCGCACAATGTTGCAAGAGAAGAGCGATTCAACTTCAGATTTGTTGCATGCAACAAGTTTGGGGTAGACACACGCTGCAACAGTCCTATTGCGTTCAATGTTGCATGCAATGTTGCACCGTTTGTCAGCATCATTAAAACAAAAGATCTCTTTGTTTCAGTAGCCAACAAATCTCTTGTTGGGCATTAATATCAATAGGCGACGTCAGCGTAAACTTCGCTATACCTGTGAATAAACACTGTGGACATGCCAAGTGATCTTGCTATAGCGCATGCGTGCTGGCCACCAGCTCCACCAAAGCAAGCCAGCACGTGCTGGGCTGTGTCATGACCACGTGCCTGGGTCAGGTTTCTGATTGGTCGACACATGCTCTCATTGGCTACCTTGATGAACCCGAGTGCCAGTTCCTCGACGGTGTATGGGGTCTGGTCTTCACCCCCTGGTTGACTGGAAATGTAATCATTCACCTGGAAGTAAAAATTAGTTTATGAATTCGCACGATCCCTAGTACAATTCGGAATTCATAGGTAAGAGTGATGTTTTTAAAGTTTTCAAAATTGGACAAGCCTTTATAGGCGAATTCAATTTGAGAACTTTCAAATATCTATCAATTTTGAATTGTAAGAGACGATCTTGCAATTTGTTTGTTTATAATACACTCAACATAATTGAGCAACTTAATTGGGACTCTACAGAGTACAATTCGTGATTTAATGGAACTTCTCTTGTCCAATCAGAATTGAGTAATTTTGTTGAGTGTATGGCGTCATTTCACTACAACTACCAAAATGCTTCGCGAATTTTCTTTCTCATTCAAATTTGTATTTCCTCGTGAGAATAGTAAGATAACTGGTGCTGATCAACTGAACAAAAGAAAGTGTGCAAGGGATTCTGGTAGTGGTAGTGAATGAAGCTATTGACAGATAGCCACTCCCAAAAGGATCTCTCACTTCTCACCTTACACAAACAAAAGTTTGGAGTTTGTTTAATTTTACACCCATAAATAGACCCCTTCACAGTTTTCTGCGTCATCTTGAAAGGTAGCCGTATCTTTGCGTCAAAGCAAGACGAACGGTGAGCTTGCAATGATAAAGACCTTTTTTAACACTTTGGACAATTATTCCCATGTCTCTATCATTGTTGGCTCACCGCTCGTCTCGCTTTAATGCAAAGGCATGGCTACCTTTCAAAATGGCGCAAGGAACTGTGAAGGGGACTATTTACCAGTCATTTGAGAAAATTATTTTACAACACAAAAACCACAGGAATGAGAACTACAAAGAATGACAAGAACAAACACATGCAGATAATTAACCACAAATAATTGATTTTCTTACTTCCTGGGTGAATTTTGTGAATGCTTCTAAAGAACCTTCCTTGTCCAGAGGCTGGTCTTCAGACGGGCCAAAGATCTTTGGAAAATATCTGAAATATAAGCAAAAACAGGGTAAGTTTCAAGCACTTTCCACACCTCCTCCTCTCAAGGGAGGGTCTGAGAAGGGTATATTGTGTAGTTCCAGAAAATATCCATACCTCACCCATGGAGGGGGATTGGAATTTCCAAGGGGTGGGGAGGGTCTGAGGAGAGTATATTGTGTAGTACCAATAAATATCCATACCTCACCCATGGAGGGGTATTGGGATTTCCAAGGGGTGGGGAGGGTCTGAGGAGGGTATATTGTGTAGTTCCAGAAAATATCCATGCCTCACCCATGGAGGGGGATTGGAATTTCCAAGTGGTGGGGAGGGTCTGAGGAGGGTATATTGTGTAGTACCAGAAAATATCCATAACTCTCCCATGAAAGTAGATTGGGATTATGAAGGAATAGAATAGCCATGAAGATCTACACTTGATAGCAATTTAATGGAATTTAGCCAACTGGAAACCGAGGGTTTTTCCTACTTCCTCTCAAATCAACCCTAACTACTTCAAATGGTTAGAGCTGTGCTCCGGCAGTCATAGATAGACTGTATAGTGGCTGCACATGCCAGAGGCACCTTCACATGCTTTCAGTTCAACCTTGTTGAACTGTGCCACTGCTGTACTTTGCAGTGGGGATTAGCAATGACAAATTTGGCTGGTAAATCGTATTGGAACCCATTTTCAGGAAGCTTCACTTTCCCAGGGAAAGGGTGTATTGCACTTGGAGAGTAATAGGTATTTTCTAAAATTATTGATATATATTGCAAACACACAACTTTTGATCAACAAGGATTGAGAATTTTGAAACCACAAATATTCAAAAGACTTACTCAGGTAAAAGTCTTCCAAGCACAAGATTTGCATCTGTCACTGCTAAATATCCATCTGAGATTAAAGACAACTATATTTAATTTATGTCAATATGAGACAATGCAAATAATTTTGACATTTTCTTGCCTTTTATGGTTTCCTGTGGCATTGGAGTGAGGTCATCATGTAAGTCACCCACCCCTCCCCCCACCATCCATCTCACGTTTTCTATACACACTGGTCCAGGGTGCGCACCTGCAGATTCTTGACCTACCACAGGGATCCCCCTCCCCCATACATCCATCTCACCTTTTCTATAACACACTGGTCCAGGATGGGCACCTGCAGATTCTTGACCTACCACAGGGGTCCCCCTTCCCCCAACATCCATCTCACCTTTTCTATAACACACTGGTCCAGGATGGGCACCTGCTGATTCTGGACCTACCACAGGTTTTCCTGACCTGAAGAATAGCCGCGAGCCTCCTCCAGCTGCAACAGTGTTAATGTCAAGCTACAAAAAATTAACATTGGAAAATAAGAACAAATCAGTGGTTCAGCAAGTTTTCTGTTTTAATCCATTAGATCCTTGGCTGTGTAAGTAATGCAACTGTGGTCAACCTTATAATATTAAACTATATAAAAAATGTATCAAATTGAGCTGATCCTTGCAGTATATCAAGCAAATTATGCAGCTGTAAATAGGAAATTTGCAATGATGGCATCATTTGACTCCCACTACCATAATGCTTCACGACTTTTCCTTCTTATTTRAATTTGTATTCGCTCATGAGAATAGTAAGATGCTAATTAGCTGAACAAAAGAAAGTGTGCAAGGGAGTCTGGTAGTAAAGGTCAATGACACCATCATGCAAATGTCCTATTTAAAGACTCAGAAAAAATTATATAAAAAATACTAGTCAACATATAAAGAAAAAAATAGTCAAATAGACACAAAAGAAAACAATGGAATTAGGGTCTACTAAAGTGTATTAGTCTAATATCTATTGCACGGGTGTAATGACTTCACTCTTAAACATGATACAGAACAAATGGTAATTAAACATAAACTGACACATTTTCCCATACAAACCCTGATAATGAATTATTCCATGAATGCAGCTGACAACATTTATCCCATATTCTAGATCAAAACATCTATTTCATATTCCTCACGTTAGAACAAACTTGCGACAATTCTCTATTCAATATCATCACCCTACTTTGTTTAAATCACTTAGTAATGAAATTAAGCAAGTGTTTCCTATAATATATTTACAAAAAAATTTAAGGGACAACTGATCTCAAGTTATTGTAAATAGAAAAAAATTATCAACTTTATTTAACAATAACTTGATGTAAATATCTAGTTTGACATCATGTCACAAAGTTTATTTCTTCTTAAACATAAATTACTAAATGAGGAAGACTGATTCCTTGATAATCCCCATGGCTTCAAATCTGACTTCCACGCCATTAACATAATCATTATTTATATGTATATAATGTTATAATATATGTTATAATATTATTCTGTATATAATGAATATCTAGTGGAAAATAAACTGTTATACTGTTATTCTACATTTTTTGATTCTGCTGCTTTGCTTGAAGGAAGTAAGTTCATGTGACAATGGAAATGTTTAGTTCTCATTGCAGGAATTTGTTTTCATATTTAATATATTTTTATATAAATCATATCAAGAATGGTGACAAATTGTTTTTGTTTTGTTGGGCAAAATTAAGGAGAAGAAAAACCGTCTTCATTCACACTTTTCCAAAGCTGTGTAATAAATATGAAAATATTTATTTTTCTTTTTTTATTTTATTGATAAACTTGACAACTGAGTGAGCACAGACACAAATGATACAAGGCTACAATGGCATAAATAGATAAACAAAAAACTCTGCCATCATAAAGGACTGACCAACAGAACACTGGGTCACATACAAAGGTCAACCAAAAATAAAAATCACAAAGACTGATTAAGATTACATTAATTGATATAATGAATTTGAATAATATTTACATTATATGAGAATGAATTCAATCATAGTAAATAATCTTTAAAGCAAGAGGTAGGATTGAAAGAGCGGCATTTTGAACAGCAAGTTTTCCAGGTACACATTTTGTCAAGGTCAAAGGTGGACTCCAGTTTAGAAAAGTAGTAACAGTAAATGATGAATGAAAATGATGTGCTATTATGTAGACTGAGAAAGGTTCTTCAAGAGAAAGACAATTCTATTACATAAAGAATGAATTCCTAAAAYGAGTAGTCCTACATGAGTTGAGTTGAAGTAGATTTGCCGGCCAGAATGAGAGTGAGAAGAACAAAGAGAAGAGGAGACATAATAGGAGGCCTCTATTAAACACAGAGAGTAACAAAAATGTTGTGAGAGCATGTGCATGTGTGTGTGTTAGTAACACRTTGCATTTTGGATATCATAAGTTAAATTATAATTTAATATCAATATTTATTCTGATTTATTATCGTAACTATTTATCTTCCTAAGATTACCTATCTTTTTATTTCGTTCTATTTGTATTACTACAAAAATTATCATAAATTAATATATTAATTATTACTAATATAAATATCATTGTGATCTCCCTAGATGAGCTGCTCTTGGAGACAATATTTGGTTAAATAAATAAAAAGAGTGGATGCCTATTAGTGATGGTTTACTCAAAGGTTCATACTTAAACCATCACTGCACACTCACAGTTGTAACAGTTTATATTTAATATTTATATTTATATATCTTTCTATAAAATCTAGTATAATTTGTAAACATAAACAATTATGATTTGTTATTCAACTCTATATAAAGTGTGTGAATTGAATTTAATTAAATTGAACTGTATCGATGCCAGGTATTAAATGTATTAGTCACTGAACAGTTAGATCAAGGGATTCTCAAGCAAACACAAGAAACTGAACATAAACAAATAAGATTGTGTACTGTACTGTGCTCCAGAAGCTCTATTACGCTTCTTATAACGAAGGAGCGCCRCAACTTCCCTTCAAAACAGCAAACGCCAGAGCAAGAATAATTAACCCCAGGGTAACTGACTTCAGACAAGTCTCTTTACAGCTGTCTGGTCTGACTCACTGTACATGACCCACGATCAATTTATATTTGTGTTGATTTTGATTCTTATTTCAAAAAGAATGTTACTAATGTCACAATACAAGATCGTTTAATTTGGAGTAAACTGTGTTTGTTAGATCCCTAGTCTGCCTCACAGCAGCCATCAGTGCAAGGGAGACTAGATCACAATTCATGAATGAGTTTTAGTTTGGACTTGTAATACAAATATTTGCTGCCTAATTAAACATTTTGGAGGGGAAAGTTCTCTCGACTCTGATAATGTCAACATATTGTCATTTCGTTTATCTGGCAAAATCCTAGACGGTCATTGAAAAGGATATAAAACTTTTGAAATTATATATATGCCTTTTTTGAGGGAGATAGAAAACTTAGGAAAATTTGTCGTTAGAGAAATGAAAAAGTTATTGGAAATATATTTATAATATATTTGGAAATATATTTATAATATATTTGGAAATATATATTTTAGGGAGGTAAAAAGTGTAATTGTTAGCATATAGGTATTGACTTTATTTGATGTGGTGGCTCCTAAAAGAGCCGTTTATATAGTTTGAGAGAGAAGACTTAGAATTCTTGACTCTGGCTGCCTTTGCCTTTTTTCTCGGTCTTCTTTGGCAAGAGAACAGCTTGGATGTTGGGAAGAACACCACCTTGAGCGATGGTAACTCCACCAAGAAGCTTGTTCAACTCCTCGTCGTTTCTGACAGCCAACTGCAAGTGACGGGGGATGATTCTGCTTTTCTTGTTGTCACGGGCAGCATTACCGGCCAACTCGAGGATTTCAGCGCTCAGATACTCGAGAACTGCAGCCATGTAGACTGGAGCACCAGCACCAACTCGTTGAGCATAGTTTCCCTTGCGGAGAAGACGATGGATACGACCAACGGGGAACTGAAGCCCTGCTCTTGAAGAACGGGTTTTTGATTTGGTTCCCTTTGCTTTACCTTTGCCTCTTCCAGACATTTTTTTTATTCTTTCAGACGTTAGTTTATACCTTCTATTTTGCTTATAGAGAAATATGCCCTTCCGCAATTGCGGTGCGGTTATATAGCACCATTATGGATCGAAACCGACCAATCACATCGCGAACGTAACTCGATATTACAGCACAGTGTCTATTTCACTTTATATARTTGTGTCTCCTAAGAAGTAAGTAAAGCAATTATCCAATCAGAAAACTAAATTAATTGACTCTTGACCCTTATTATACACTGTCGGATATGGACTGACATTCAACCAATCAGATAAACGTATTTTGGATCCTCGATCCTCGTTGAAGGAATATAAATACCGAATGTGTAACAAGGAACGATATCTTCGTCATTCGTTTTAAGAATTTTAACTTTAATATAAATTCCGAAAATGCCTCCTAAACCAACCCCTGGGAAGAAAGGTGAAAAGAAAGCCGGTAAAAAGGCCGCGCTTGGTGACAAGAAGAAGAGAAGATCTAAGAGAAAAGAATCCTATGCCATCTATATCTACAAGGTCATGAAACAGGTCCATCCTGACACTGGTATTTCCAGTAAGGCCATGAGCATCATGAACTCCTTTGTCAACGATGTCTTCGAGCGCATCGCTGGTGAAGCTTCCCGTCTTGCTCACTACAACAAGAAATCCACCATCACATCTCGGGAAATCCAGACGGCTGTTCGTCTTCTTCTCCCTGGTGAACTGGCCAAGCACGCAGTCAGTGAAGGCACCAAGGCTGTCACCAAGTACACCAGCAGCAAGTAAATCGGCTTTTGAAGCCAAAACTATASAAAAACAGCTCTTTTAGGAGCTAACACATGTAGTAAAGACGTGACTATACGCTTATAAAGGGTTTTAAGCCAGAATGAAGAAGCATACACAATATCATATGTAAATAAAGAATTTTATCAATTGAAATAAATCACATTAACAAACAAGAGTYGTTTCCCTATTAGACATATGATAGTGTTAATGTTTTTTCGCTACATCTAATACCGAACACTATTGCACACCCAATTTACGTTATTCTAGCGCGCCAAAAAATCTGTTTTTCTAACGGCTTTTTCAGTACTAGAGAAGATTGTAGTCTTTTTGGGAATCATAGTCAAACCAACTTGTGCGTTACTATTGCGGATCAAAGGAACGCATGAGCAAATGCTTTCGTATCAATTCACACTAAAATGGCTTACGAACTATTTATGTCCGTTAATAAGAGATAACTAGCTAAAAATTAGTGTGAGCTGCGTCGGTGTTTCTAATGAAATAATGATACAAGGGCATAAGGCCTTTTTGGGAATCACGGTCAAACCAACGTATGCGTTCCTATCGTGGATCGAAGTTTCAGTTTATTCGAAACGAAAGTTGTAAATTTCAATCCCGGTCTATACTAGCCTCCGTTGCAGCCGTTTAATGTATAGTTCGTTTCGTTTGCAAGTAGACTTTATCAGCAACACGTGACAAACAACTTTAAAATGGTAGAAATATTTAGCTTTACAATGAATTTGTGAAGAACTAAATAACCTTTTTATGTGAACCCAGATATTAGAGAAAGATTGAAAATCAAACTTGCAATAAATCAATCTTTGAACCTCAATAGGGACGTACGAGTACCAGTACTATGCTTTCGTAGCAATTGACACCGAAATGGCTTACATACTATTTATCTTTGTGAATAGAATAATAAATGAATGACTGGTATAATGGTAAATGCGCGGGGRAAAAAAACTGCTCTTATAAAACTGACTCGAAACCTGCTAATATATATTTCAATTAAATGCCTTATAAAACGACAATCGTACTTAATCTTAGCTTTCGGCCTTTAATTAGAAAGCGTATGCTTATTAAAGAGGGGTACTAAAAATCTGGGCGAATGCATTTTGAGCCCGTCTCTGAGCGATTGACATTTGTGTATAAGCATTTGATCAAGACTTTCTCATCATTTAGTGGCTCCTAAAAGAGCCGTTGTTTTGTTGTAAATGAGTTGGTTAACTCATCTAACCACCAAATCCGTACAGGGTACGTCCTTGGCGTTTCAAAGCATAGACAACGTCCATGGCTGTGACGGTCTTTCTCTTGGCGTGCTCGGTGTAGGTGACAGCATCACGGATGACATTCTCAAGGAAAACCTTGAGGACACCACGGGTCTCCTCGTAGATCAGACCAGAGATTCTCTTGACTCCACCACGACGAGCAAGACGACGGATGGCGGGCTTGGTGATACCCTGGATGTTATCCCGAAGGATCTTACGATGACGCTTGGCGCCTCCTTTTCCTAGACCTTTTCCTCCTTTACCGCGACCAGACATTTTGACTTTGTAGGTTTCTCGACTGAGTAAATTACCTCATTCATGTTCACCGCGTTTATAAGCATATTTTACTGCAACGCGATTGGTTGGTCATAAGAGGGTTTGTTGAAATATGGAAATATATAACCCTTGATCCAATGCAATTAGTTAGTCTGAAATTAACGACAATTGAATCAAAATTTCTTTCAAGGTATAACATTTTATATAATATTAACATCATCAGATTTACATACAAARAGCTAAATGTCGTATTTGGCTAGAAAAATATCGTTTTTCATAGGATTTTGAGCAAAAAAAGACGGTCAAAATATGCAGAGCTTGAAATTTTTTAACTTGGTCGGATCAAAGCCAGCATAATAAGCCAATCATAAATATGTCATGATACTCAGCCAATCAAAGAAGCGATTCTCTTAGCCAATCAAATCAAGGCGCGCTGGATATAAAATCGAAGCTTGTCATAATTTAGTTATCTAGGAAATTCTATTTCTGAACGATTCAAAAAAATGGCTCGTACTAAGCAAACTGCCCGTAAATCTACCGGAGGAAAAGCTCCCCGAAAACAACTTGCCACCAAGGCAGCACGTAAGAGTGCCCCAGCAACTGGTGGAGTCAAGAAGCCTCATCGTTACAGACCCGGTACCGTCGCTCTTCGTGAGATCCGTCGTTACCAGAAATCAACCGAGCTGTTGATCCGCAAGCTGCCCTTCCAGCGTCTGGTCCGTGAGATCGCTCAGGACTTCAAGACAGATCTTCGATTCCAGAGCTCAGCTGTGATGGCCCTTCAGGAGGCTAGCGAAGCTTACTTGGTTGGTCTGTTTGAAGACACCAACTTGTGCGCCATTCACGCCAAGAGAGTCACCATCATGCCCAAGGACATTCAGCTTGCCCGCCGAATCCGTGGAGAGAGAGCTTAAGTTCTCAGCACCATAACAAAACAACGGCTCTTTTAGGAGCCACCACATGACTAAAAAGTCTGTGAATCAATATGCTGTACTTCTCYCTTTCAAAATAACTAAAAATATTACGATATAAAAAACAAATACTAAGAACAAAGCAAGTGACTCCCTTATATAGCTTCCTGAAAAACCTCTGCCTTGGAAGTAAACTCATTCCCATAACTACATTCTCAATCGTAAAATTTGCTTCTAACGTCCTTTTTCCACTACAAAATGTGTGTGTAAGCTGAGGAAAAAAATCTTACCCAATGTCATCTGAGACTAGAAATTACATAAAATAGACTTCGGTGAATTTATTTGCGCGCCAAAGWCTAACGACGTTTCAACCGAATTTCAGTTTACGAAAGGCGCCAAAATCATTTCTGTTCATTTATGAACTATGAATTCTTTTACAGCTTATTAAAAGAAACCTGTGGTCCCCTTATTCTTGGTTGTTCCTTTATTTCAAATAGTGGTTTACTAGTAACARAAACTACTCGGTCTTACAAGAACTGTTTCGAATATTCGATGTAAATTAGCTGCACTAAAATGGCTTTCCTATATGTAAACAAATCGGATTCAAAAGCGCGTTCATTTCTAGACACGAAAATCTATTTCTACAGAGCGGGTACAAATGGAATCTTGAAATACATGATATAACTTATTAAACCCTTAAATATCAGGACAATGTCCTAGAATTTAGGTCATGTAATAAAACAAGCACCGAATAGAAGATCAATGAACTAGGATTGCTCTGTGTTCGTGTAGTCTTTAGGCTGACAAAAACTCAGGCGTTCGGTCGCAAACATCTTACTGAAAACTATAAAGAAAATATAATTCGTAAAGCTTAAAGTATACTTAATCTACAATAAATATCTTGCTCAGAGGAAGGTTTTGTATATTTATTTTAAATTTATTTATATTTTTTGGGGGCAGAAGAGCTGTGACAGAAAGTAAAATTGAAAGTCTAATTTAAATTTATTCGAGTGATCATAGTCTACTGTAATGTGCAGAAACAAAGTCCTCTTTCTTCCATAAGTAGTTTACAATTAGGTCCTAAATATCAAATTAAGGCTATCTGGGGGAAACTACGAGTGAGGATTGTCAAAAGATTAATGTTCAGGGTTCCTAAGATAAAATATTTTCAAGGAAAGAAAAAGGCGGCAAAATACGACGTTCAACTTCGTCGTCAGTATTGACTCGGAAAAACTACACTTAAATCCAAAGTAAAGCAAAACAAACCAGAAACTCTTGCTTAAAACTATATTCTATATCACAATGGTAACATAATTCAGGGTTCAAATGCTTAAAATAAAGAAATATAACGAAATTTACATCTAGTCTCAAGCGTGTTGTCCTGTATGGCGAGTTGGATCCAAACTGCTCTGTGTTTGTTACCCCTACTCGAAATCTAATTTCTCAAAACCGCGCGGAAAATTCCAAATTCTTATTGCYTAGATTCAAAGTTGAATAAATGATCTTCAATTTCGAAGGTTCTTTATGAGAATATAAAGGTTGAAAGTCATTTTACGAAATAATTTTTCACTAAGRACATCGTCAATCAGACTCGAGTGACTTTATATAACTGCTCCGATTTCATCGCCATGTTAGTGCTGTTGGTCGTAAGAGGGCTCTTATGAAAGCCAAATTTCTAAGCTTGATTTCTAAGTTAGAATCTTTGAATATAAACGGAAATTAAACCCAAAATAAGTCCTTAAAGAACGACAACAAACACATATCTTGGTTCGCCATGTTGGATTGCCCTGGTTTATTACATGTGTTCTCGGGGGTCCGCATCAGGGGGATATATTTCGACGCGGTTGGCGGTAAATTTAGTTCATTGTCGAATACTCGTTAGTAAAGTTCTATCGAAGCACTGATCTAAATCTCTCCAAGATGTCTGACGCAGCAGTGAAGAAAGCAGCGAAGAAGCCAGCTGAGCATCCTAAATACACCGACATGGTAAAAGCAGCGATTTCTGCCTTGAAGGAACGTAATGGATCGTCCCGCCAAGCCATCGAGAAGTACATCAAAGGCAACTACAAGATCGGGGACAACTGTGGTATTCATCTGAAGCTGGCGCTCAAGAGAATGAGCGAGAAAGGAACCCTTGTCCACACCAAGGGTGTTGGTGCTTCTGGATCCTTCAAACTGAACAAGGCCGTTAAAGAAGAGAAACCAAAGAAGAAACCAGCGAAGAAGCCAGCTGCTAAGAAAGCTGCCAAGAAACCGGCCGCCAAGAAAGCCAAGAAGCCTAAGTCACCAGCAAAGAAGGCAGCCAAGTCTCCCAAGAAGGCAAAGAAAGCAGCTGCTGAAAAGCCAAAGAAAGCAGCCGCAGAAAAACCAAAGAAAGCAGCCAAGAAGCCTGCTGCTAAAGCCAAGCCAGCTAAGAAGCCAGCAGCTAAAAAACCCGCCAAGAAGACAGCCAAGAAACCCGCGGCAAAGAAGGCAGCCAAATCTCCCAAGAAGTAAAGCGTAACACACGCTACTAAACAATCAAACGGCTCTTTTAGGAGCCACCACATGAAATAAAGTCAAAACCAATATGCTCAGATAAACTTTAAATATCAATCTTAAACTAATATGAATGTCGAGAGATAGCCATTGCAAAAATCCCAGTAAACAAACTCAAAACTGCTCTCACTAAAAGAACGTTCGAAGGAAAAGCAACAGAAATAATGAGAAAATAGAAACAACACAACTTTATAGATGTTACTGAACTTTCTACAATATTTCATTTTTCTTAAGAAAACGGTYGATAAACTATGAACGAAAGGCCACCGCTCATCTTCTCTTGGACTCGGGCAGACATTTGAAAGGTTTAAATCGTGATTATTTTTAAATCCATTATATAGTGACTTAGTTTCTCTGTAAGTATATGAACTATATATTTGTACTGCAGTTGTTATGTATCTAAGTGAGCTGATCCTTGCAGTATATCAAGTGACTTATGCAGCCGCAAATCTTAAGACTCAGAAAAAAGTTTGAGTCGTGAAYGGTTGCTCTACTTGTATCTCAAGTGTACTGAAAAAATCCTGTTTATAAACCCACCTACCCTCCCCCCACAGCAAAAAAAACATACCTTCTCTTGTCATTGCAGGTAGCTTGTACCTAATTTTTTGTTAATCTATATATTTATAGAGTGAAGTCATTAAACCTGTGAAATAGATATTAGACTAATATACATTAGTAGACCCTAATTCCATTGTTTTCTTTTGTGTCTTTTTGACTATTACACGTTGACTAGTATTTTTTATTTCATGGGTTATGCATTCACTCTAATTTGTAAATACTATCAAATAGAATAATATTATCAAATACTAGATAATAAAGTATGTATGTCATTAGTAACAATACCGTACCTGTGGAGCCTGAATGGTTATCCCAGCAGTAGTCGACTCAAAGACATGTTCATATTGACCCGAGTAGCGAGATACATCAGTAGATGTGCCTACACAGAGAAATACAGCTTCAGTTAAAGAAGAGGGTCGGGACAACAGAGCTAGGGAGCTATCRCCCCTGTCAATAGACCTCCTAAGGAGGCAGCATGGTTGAGTGGTCATAGCGTCGGTCTCACAATCCGGTGGTGCCGGGTTCGAGTCCCGCTGTGGCCACTAGCTGAGACTGTATTTGTTCCGATTCCTAATTAGTTCAGATTCAGTTTCTCGACCATGCTTATTAATAGCCAACTGGTTTGCCTCCTTGCCAGTTGGGATTCTTAACATCATTGCTTTATGTTCATTTAATCTTTCATTTCAGTTTATTAATTGTAGGAGGGCCATAATGGAAACTACTGGGTCACCAGTAATGTATGTCACCCTCGTTAAATAAAGTCTTTTTTTTTTTTTCCTTGGCTTGGGCGTAATGTTTTCCCATTTCAGACCACACGTCATTCCCTAGAGTATCATTTCTTTGTTTAATGTTTGTGCATGAGAAGACAGATGAATATGGGTACAACTCAAACAAAGAATCTTATTCTCAAGAGAATGACACGTGGTCTGAAATGGGACAACATTACGTCCAAGCCAAGGAGGTCTATAATTTTACTACTAATTTTGATTTATTTACTTTATTTTCTATTCGATATAAAATTCAGTATTATGAAGAGATTTCTGAAATAATAGCCCTCAAATCCAAAACTCAATCCATGGTCCCTTGGATATACCCTTTACTCAGGAGGGGGGGGGATCGATGGAATTGGTGCAGACTCAAGAGGAGAACCACTCAAAAAAAATGCAAGTTGCACAGCACTTTTACAATAAAAGTGTGGAAAACAAGAGAGAATAATTTTTTTAGCAACAGAAGCAACCTTCAATGTAAACAGTGCCTCTTGTTTTCTTCCTAACTTGGTTGCTCTGGGCCACTCCCCACTTGCTGCCTCATTCACCCTCACCAAGTGATTTCACTTCTCTCAGTCCAATCAAATTAGCCAATTAGCAAACATTTAGCCCATAGGTCAATATTTCCTTGTTCCAAATAAAACTTATGCATAGAAAGATTTACCAAATATATTTTTGGAATTAGTATTTTTTCACTGTTGGTGGTGAAAAATATTTCCCTTTGACAAGAGATAATGGAAAGAGCTTGGAAATTTTTGTCGTAACAAACAATGCATTGTGTGCCTAGATTTCAAATAACCTGACACTGTCTGTGCGACTAAGGCAGGGAAAACCCAACTCAACTGGGCTAGGAAGGAGAGGAGGTTCTGTTTAGAGTCTAA